ATAGGATAGGTTAGGTTAGGCTGCATTAGGATATGGGTTAGGCTAGGTTAGGTTAGGCTAGATTATATTAGAATGTAGGTTAGGTTATGTTAGGTTAGATTAAGTTAGGTTAGGTCAAATTAGGATATAGGTTACGTTAGATTTGGTTAGGCTAGAGGTTAGGTTAGGATATATACTTTAGGTTAGGTGAGGTTAGATTAGGATATAGGTTATGTTTTGAGCGTTGAGCTTCACCTGTGACTGTTGTCTGACGCGGGTATGCAACTATGGTGGTGGTGAGCGTCGTGCCTGGTGATGGTACTTATGTTGAGTTTCATGGACATATCTGTATCGATAAGGGAATTTGGACCCAGAAAAGACTTTTGCTTTTAACCTTCCTGTGGCCTTGACCTGTGACTCTGATAGATAGATAGATAGATAGATAAACATACAGATAGATAGATAGATAGATAAACATACAGATAGATAGATAGATTAGATAGATAAACATACAGATAGATAGATAGATTAGATAATTAAAGCTCTCGATAGTTGGACGCTTATTATTGTATCTTGACGTAGAATTTTGTGGGAAATATTTTTAACCCAGATTTTATCAAGGGAAAAACTGATTTTATCCCTTCATTGTTTGGCCCTGCACCTGCTGACGCGCCATTGTGTTATATTTTCATCTTAATTTTGTCTCTCTTAATTTTTATTTGTTGATGGTCGAGTGTGCTGTAATTATTTTGTTACGCCTTGAAACACCCAAGTTGTTAAAGCGTAGTAATAACATTATGACGTCAACCTCATCATATTTAGTTATTAACTATCTCACAGGTAATATGACGCCTTAAAGAAAGTTAGGGAGCAAGTTTTTAATCAAGACACACAAGATCAGAAATGTGGATATTATTGTTATATTTTTTTCCCCAAGAGACACTAAAATGAAGTGAATCCCATGGGCCTGAAGGTACAGAGACAAGCGTGTCCGGCACTGCACTCGACCTCTGCCGCTTCCTCAGTTGTAAAGTAAGATACCAATTCACAGCTGGGTTGCCTGGGAGTACCCTGGACACAACAAAGCAGAGCCCATCTCACCTCAGCTACGAGTAAAATAAGAAATTGTTGGAAATTGGTCAGTCGTCGCTACACTGCGTTTGCTCTGAGAATAAAACCTAACGAGAGTAATTGCGGGTTTTACAGTTATATACCAAATAGTCTTTAGTTCAGGCCAGAGACGACCATTATCAACACAGCCTAGGTCAGAGGTTCCGGGAAAACTTTGTGTGTTCACGATAGCACAGGTGTGTTGGGCGCTGCTATGACAAACTTTGCTCCGTGCTTGACTGTGCAGTGCAAAGGACCTGCCTACCTTATTCTCTCTAGGTACGACGCCGCTGTGAAATTCCATGAACATGTGTGAAGCAAGTGTGCTTATGTTCTCAAAGGGTGAAAGGTAGACTAAGACGATAAGTGTTTGGGTTCTAATCCTCCGTGGGGGGGGGGGGGTTCTACTTAGAGGAAATTCGCAGTCCTGGTACAGTGTATAAGTTCACTTCTCAACTGCGTTTGTCTGTTCTTAGTATTATTATTGTTATTATTATTATTATTATTATTAGTAGTAGTAGTATCATTATCATTATTTATTTTGTCATCATCATCATCATCCCTGGAGCTTTTGATAATGGAAAGAAAGAAAGAAAAGATAACATCAAATGCAGAAAGCGTTGTGAAAACTTCAGTTCGTCTCAAAATATCACATAGTATTTTTGTATCAAATTTAATTATAAAATTTTCCTGCTGGTCACGTTCAGGCACAGTCAATTATTGTGTTACTTCCAGTCTTCCAAAACTGTGTTACAATAACCATGATGATATCTTGGCTGCTTTAAAATACAACATTAAACATATACGTGAAGGTTCCAATAATTTTCATAAAACTTGAACGAATTTTTTGGACAGTTTTGCCACATATTGTCCCGCGATTTTTTGTATTTATTTATTTTTTTGGTGTGTGTGTGTGGCGGGGTGATACGTTTGATGTAGTGAGGGTAAAGGTGTTTGATAACGGAGGCCAAAATATATAACGCCTTCACAGGACCAGTCATAACGAAAATCAATTATTCCTCCTCAACATGGCCGAAGTCTGCGAATTCTTCCATGAGATTACCTGAGACGAAACCTAATTATCTTCACACCTGGAGTCCCGACGTAAACCAATAATTAACGTAGGGTGAAAAATTAATAGGACTTTTCTTGCTCTTTTTTAACCTGTTTACCATAGCTGGGAGAGGTGAGGAGAGGGCGGTGGTGCGTGGGAGAGGCACCACGCCATCGACCTGTGAGAGGCAGGTATACAGTGAGAGAGGCAGCCAGTCCTCCCCCCCCCCCCAACACCCCTACCAACCCACCCTCACCCATCCTCAGGGAGCATCACCCACTTGCCTCGTTACGTTAATAACACCCTGACATTTAACTGGACTCACCCATCCACTGCACTACCACAAATACCCACAACAACACAAGCATCCACAACACAACCACCCACAACACCACCACAACATAAAAAAAAATATTTACAGGTAATCGATGGAGATGACGTAATTTCTTGAGGGTTGGTGCCTACGTCCCTCCACTCCAACCATTTATCCATCTGATGTCAACTATATACAAATTAGAGTCTTAGACCTTGAAGGAACTCTTGGTCAGTAGCGAGGAACAGATGATCATTACCTGGCAGCCTCGGGAGTCAAACCAGTCAAGCAAGCGAGACCCCTTTGGCGCCACCAACCTCGCTACATGACCCACACCACATCCCATAATTTTCTATATCCTCTTCGCTACTGACACAAGATTCTCCCCATTCATTTTATCTGACCAAGTTTAGGAATCTAGACATTTTAATGGGTTAAGATAGAGAATACTCCAGTCCCCCCTGTTAACCATTTTTGGGAGTGATACCATAATAACACCTCTTTCTCTCAGACTTCATTACCAGTCGTTATATTTTCTTCATATTTCTGACAGATATCTTGACAGGTATACACTCGCCTGACAATAAGACCGATGTTCTCCCCTTGTGCCAGATGTACTCGCGCGGGACGTTTTGTTTGAATGAATGGTAGTGTGTATGTCTGCATCGTCACCATCATCACCATGTGGGTTTTGTAGTTCTGTCATGTGCATCAATCCATCCATCTTAGCTACTTGGCAAAAAGAAGTGTGTGTGTGTGTGCGTTAAGAATATTTAAAATTACAGCACTGCTACGAATTACCTAAATATAGGAAATTCACCTTACAATTTTGTTTCCCTTTGGATGATATCAGTGACAAGTGGTTTGTATCTAAATAACTTGTCAATAATTCTATCAACATTCACCCTATGTCATCAGCACCAGCAAGTGTTCAGCCACCGCACACGCCATGAAGGCTCGGGCGGCCAGGCTTACCGTGACATAATCCAAGGACACGTTTACACAGGTATTATAGTGCTTCCCTGACTAGCACTACCTAGGTTCGGATTCTCATACACACATGCAATAGGTGTCTTGTTTGTGACTGTGGATGAGTGTCCCTATACAGCATGAGTTTGATGAGATTTAAAGGTCTTCATTATTGTCGTACATCGAATTTAACAGTGACATGTTTTAATATCTGCAGTTACATAATATTAAGGGGCGATTCTTTGAGTGAGCACCAGGTGGTAGCAACTGTTGTGGCCTTACCGGGATCTTCATTACCTGTGTATATCTGTCATATAGAACACTCGCCTGGCTGCCATCACCTGGGTGTCACCGTGCTATGGCCTCACCTTCACCTTGCGTCACCTCCATACTTCTTGGCTGCCTTCACCTACACCCACGCCCACACCCTTCCCTGCTCTCACTATAACATCCACCAATGACTCGCCATTGCTCTGGTTTTCTGGCCACGCCCTTCTCGTAGGTGTGGTTCATGACCACGCCCTGGTCTTACCCTGAAGGCCCATAGGTCCATATGAGGATCACCTGAAGAATCACTACCCCATCTTATTTCACCTAAAAATTAACCAACCTAACCTAAGCTCATCCCCCAAAATAGCAGTGAGGTGGGTTAATCTTATGGTGAAATAAACTGGGATGGTGATTCACTAGGTAATCCATCTTTTCTAAGTGTCTTTCTTTGTATCAGACGAATTCCCGTTACAATTATTTCTTCCCGGATAAAATGTCCTCAATATGTCCACAATACTCCAGATGAAGTCCTCAAAAAAGGGAAACGGGGAAAGAAACAAGTTCATTATCCTTGGCCGAGCCCTTTCAAAAGCGTCCATAACCTGGGCTGAATTCTCGCAAAAGTTCCATTGTTCCTCACCAACTCCAGTCAATGGTCATAATTCCAGATCAAGTCTTCTCAGTTGAACGTATGGCCGTTATATTTTAGACGGGTATTTTCGGGGGGGGGTGGAGAGGGTTGCATCAAGGAGGGGGGAGAATGGGGTACGAGTAGGCTATCTAACACCAACCTTACAGTGAACTTAGGTGTGTAAGGTTGAGAAAAAAATTTGTTTACGTGCGCGCGCGACCAATTTTAATGTATAAAGTGTCTGTATGGTTTTATGAATATGTGTATATGTATAAAGGAGCTAATCCTAGGTGTGCTCGATAACCTAAAACAAAGCACGAGTTTTATTTTTTAAGGTCTAATAACAAATAAACAGTTAAACAATTGTAAAAAAAAAAAAGACTATTTGTATATTGTCAATCGCAGTTTGGCATTTTACAGATTGCGATACCATGCACCGCTGTCTGACGTACGAGTCAAACTTTCACCAAGCTGGACAAAAATAGTAAGGAAAATATAAACTTTTTTAAGGTACAGATAAATAATACTCCATGAAAAGAACTGATAACGTACGAAATATTTAAGTTTTTCAGATATAAGTTTTTTTTTTATGAACTAGTTTATCACGATACTATCCACGTGTATACATCTGATCGGGCTTTCGTTTCCTGTTGAATGTCACTCGGTTTCAGTCAGTGCGCGGGGCTCTTGGGCGAGTAACTGTCGCTATCCGGCTACCTCAGTGTAAATAATCACCTCTATATCATCATTGTGGTTAGAAATTCTATCAGCAAAGATATGGCGGTTATAGAAAGAGTGACTGCAATTAGATGTGAAATTTAGTTCATACGAAGACAGGTTTAACAAGACCAGATGGGCAAGACGTTGATTATTGTTGTAGGAAGAGTGTAGGTAAGTGTCGTAAGTGATTGTATAAATTTTGTATGAGAGCAACTGGTCTTCGCTGAGAACTGTAGTATCAAACTCAAAGACAAACCCCTTGCTCTAGGTCTACGCGAGAAATGCCGATATAATACCGGTATTCATATTATATCCGGTTGTTATTGTGAGTTAAATTATTTTCACCAAATGGTAGACGTTTTGCCAATGGGGGATAAGATATAACACTGAACTCTCATTGTTGTTTCTCTGTATATTTACCTTCCCCGGGATTAAGTTGTAGGAGATCGCAACACTGTGAAATCATGGCAACGAGAGACTTGGAAAATTAAAGTTATGTTAATTCGACCAATAAAGCACTCCGTTATCACCTGTTGGCACACTTGTAGTTTGCCTGAACGTCGGAATGATTCTGACAGCTTTTAGTAATGTAGGAGAACAAGCTGATTATAATATAAAATATTTCACACCTAAACCTTACCAAATATTGCTTGGTATATCTTAGTTCACTGGGGTTTCGACTCTCCTGGGAATATTGAACAAAATCCGACATATAAGTAGAGTATATAAAAGTGTCAAAATTTCCTGTTAACGTAGAAGCTTATGCAGTTAGGTGATGTATAAATATATAACGTGCAAGCGTGTGTATGTGTGTAAATTTCTACTTTAAACAAAAGAATGGTAATGGTGCAGACGAGTTGAGCGCCATAACTACATAATGTATAAATATCACCATAGAACATTGATGTTATGATATACGAGGTTTATGATGAAAATTTTACAGACGAAGTACAAAATATAGGTTACGTTAGTTTGTTTAGACTGGTGTGTGAAGAGCCCTTTGGTCTCCCAGCTCATTGTAAAGAGAAGATGGAGTACTTGATACATTTCGCCTTTATTTTCTTAGACTCGTATTCAATCTAGCTTTTTCTCTCAGTGAACTTGCATTAAAGCAGACATATTAATATAGATACCGTCAGAATATTCAGTGATAAGGACGACCGCCGTATTTTACACTCATACCCTCTCATTTGATAAGGTAGATATTTTAACTACGTGATCGAAATGCTTCTCTTTACCGTTGACTACCTTCGTTTATTTCAAGGTTTACTTTCGCGATCTGATTGGTAGATTTTTTTATTGGGGGATTATTTTAACAGGAACAAATCGCTGAGCTACAAGTGTGCAATGATTCTTCCCTGTTAAAATCACGGTTATTTTTGTTTGTTTTTAATCGACGAAGCGTGTGAGCATGCCTAACCATGGCCCACTTACACTTGAGTAAATAATATTCAAAGTCATAACATTCCTCAGCGATGCATTACAAACTTCTTTTGAAAACCACCGAAGAAAACAAATCATTACCAATGGAGTAATAGTCAAACCTTGCTTGTTTTTCTAAGCTGACATACCACATTATTGTTACTATATGTTCTTGTAATGATGTTTTTTTCAGTAGGGCTGTGTGAAGTGTATATACCCCGCTTATGATTGAACATTTTGATGATGAAATTCTCCATAGTGAGCATAATTATTTACATCGTAATCCTGTAAACAGCTGCACTAGAGGAGAGAATAACGCACCGATATGGGCACGTACACACACAATGCAGGTGTTTCCATTGTAAACTTCCTGAGAAGATGAAAGTGTGTCTAAACCCTTGAGTTGTACTAAATTTGTAAGGACTAAAAAATCGCGATTCGCATCTACCGCTTGAACCTCTCCATGTATCCGCGTTTGGTTTAAAATTAACCTCTCGTCTCATGTTTATAGTATTAGTGTTAAAATTCTCCACAGATCGACACTTTAAAGAAAAATAATAATTCGAGGGATAGTTTTAACACTGAAATAATAGCTATATGCCACACTCACACGGCCCTGGGTATGACGTCAGTTGGGAAAACTTCAAACAGTATTAAAAATCTTGGTCAAGCGTTTTTCTGCATGGTTACAGGTTAAAATATTTGTCAATAATTTGGTGTGGCGTTAAAGCTGTATGGGAGTTAAACTGTACAGCATATTAAAATTTGAAAATAGATTAAAAAAATAAGTGCGTATTAACCTCAGGCATACACACCTGTAGCAGTACCAGTTGACACGTCACTAACCAGCCAGACCAGCCACCTGCTTTCCCCAAGCTGGGTTACCACAGCCCGGGAGTTATCGAGAGGTATTTTTTTTTTAGGTGACCATTAATTCTTGCGGCTTAGTTTTATTTATGGTAGCTGCATAGCTATACATCTTAAACGAATTGTTTGAAGTTAAAATAACACGTTTAATGATATTACACCTGTTAAACTCGCCCTTGTAATAAACATGGCCAGTTGCAATGAAAACAAATGGACCACGAGTGACGAGAAACGCAATACAGGTATGTTTATTTTTAATATAACCGAAAAACATTTTGTTTCTTGCACAAAAACTATTTCACTCGCCATGTTTGGCTTTACTGCTTCTGGTCTCTCACTGAGCAGCGGATCAGCCAATCAGACGCCATCGTTTTGCTAGTGCATATCTGTTATCTGTATTTATGGCAACTGGGGACCAGGTCTGCCCTTTCATTTTGCGACTAAATGTCATTTTGATTGGCAGAATATTTGTTACTTAATATTATTGTGGAAGTTAACATTGAGTTTGAAATGTTAGTAAATGTTTTCAGTCATCCGATATATTTTTTTTTTTTTTTTAAAAAGCCTTCGTTTCCACCGTTCGAGGCACACCGTGTTGGTGTGTCCTGCAGTAATAGTTTTACACTTAGCTGGGGTTGTATGTTTTACAAGCTTTTTCTATAACTTAAAATATTTACTTGGTGGTCACGTTTTCAGTGTTTTGGCGTTACGTAATTTTTTTTAGGAAAGTTAATATAATGAACATTGAATAACGAAATGTATAAAGATTGCATGTCGATACTGTTATCTTTTTTTTAGTTAGGGTGCGAGTCGGAAAGTAATTTAGAATGTTTTATTTATAGAACGGGTGTTGCGTGGTGCCCATGTTAAGCAATTACCAAGGGACCAAAACACATGCCTAAAGTACATACAATGTTTAACAAGGTGTATTTGTTAACCACTTAGTCACTACTGGACGCTGAATATAAATCAATCTTCTCCCCTCCCAAAAAGCAATACTCAGTCCATCTTCAAAAATGTATTCGTCACTGTGTGCGTGTGTGTGTGTGTGTGAAAGGATAATATAGTAAAGTTACAAAAGAGTGTAGATAAAACAAAATTGCCCTCGGTTCCACTCCCCCTTCACACCCCCCCCCCTCCCTCCTTCCCAACACACACACCTGCGGGTGGTAGTCCTCCCTAATTTAGGCGCACCTGCCACCTCTTGCCTCCCCCCCTTTCTCTCACACACACATACACACACACTTAGTTTATTAAAATCGATCAATCCTCAAATAAAAAAAAGATATGCATTTTATCTTGTATCCAAAGCTATAGTTAGATGGATAAACAGATCAAGCTTATGTAAATATTTAGCTTGTATCTGAAACGTTAAATAGGAGTCCAATCATCCGATTTTTATTTACTTTTAACTTGACACTATAAACAAAACTCATAATGACAGTGAGTTTTGGGGTAACTTGTAGTATATACACCATTTTCGGGTCACTGTTGGTCAGAAAATGTGTAATAGCTATCGTGTTCCTGGTGACTGTGTTGTGGAACTTGAAGGCCGGTAAGAAACAGCACGAGCGATCAGTCACGTTTAGCACACACCTTCCACCCCTCAGTGTCACATAGGAGCGCCTGACCACTCCACCCCACAGTGACACATTATAGGAGCGTATACTGCCTTTCTGCCAGCATCTGATCGGTGAGCACAGGTGTTCTGTTGTAGTATACAAGGTTCCCTGCCGTACACCTTTAAATAATTGTCAATCATAAGAGCATCGCGAACTCATCAAAGTTAGACAGAGTTGAGAAGTGTGAGGGAGCAAGGTGGGTTGCCGCGCCTTTTACTAGTGGCGACGCCTAGTTTCAGAATTCCTTATTAAATGAACCTCAGCCTATCCTACCTTACTTACTCTATCCTCCCACTATAATTGTGGGCCATTGAAACTAGCTTATTCATCGTACTAATTTTTTAAATGTCTAACCCAGCCTTTTAAAAGTTCATGTCGACAGCGTACAGACCGTTACAACCATCGCTATGTTATGTCTGGCCAAGAACGTGATGTTTTCTCAGTCACTTGCAGATTTATTGAACTAATCTTTCCCTCAAGAATAACTGATGTATACAATTTTGTTATTAAGTTTTAAAGGCTGGATTTGGAGTTTGACACTTCATAGACAGACTTGAGTTTCAGCAGTTTGAATGTTATGGGCGTTTTCGGGATATTTCATAACTAGGTTAACGCAAGCTACCAATACATCGGCATAGGATTGGTTAGGTTCGACTAACATAGGTTAGATTATGTTAAGTTAGGTTAGGTTCAACTAGCATAGGTTGGTTGAAGTTTAGAAATGAAAAGTCGAACAGGTCAAGCACGAATCACATGCCACATTAATACGGAATTAACTAATTTTCCCCATTTCCAGTATCGCGAAAAGTTCTCAAAACGCACATGTGAACATTTTTTGCTCATGGAGAAAGATAGGGTAGAGGAGTGGCTTTATTGATCTCGTCACCCAGGCGTACTGATAGCATCGCCGAGTTGTTTACGTATACTGTGTTGACGCTCGTAGTTCCCGCCTCTCGCCTTTGTCCAGAGGGGTTTAGTAGCTGTGCTTTGCCATTGACGCCAAAACGAGAAGGACAAAAAATTCAATGTGCTTTTTAAGATTTCGTTGTAAAGGAATATTTAAAAACTGCCCGAAAAAAAAACCTTCACCGGTTTGTTTACTTCCTCTCTCTCTCTCTCGTAGCTTACACATGTTATATCAGCTACAGTCGCAGGTATTAAAGGCTTGGAACTAGATGTCCCCCTTAAACATCTGTGTCTATTGGTTCAATACAGTATTAGCAGATGTAAGTGAAATTTGTGTTACGTTTGTTTGTTAAG